AATCATCACATGAAAAATTAAAATTTTATTGGTAAAGATTTATTTAATTTATTTGTTATTGACTTAATGTTAACAAATTGCATATTTTTAGATTTTACAGTATATTTTCATTGCCTAAAATGCACCACCAAAATCTTGCTAGCTAGGATAAAATGAAAAACTTATCTAGAGTGGCAGAAAAGGTTGCCTTCAATAAAAATAAAACTTTCAAAAGCTACAAGAAATGACTATGAACCCAACTACTCAACTACAAGATATGAATATTAGGATGCAGAACCAAACACAATGAAGTTTCTGAAAGTACGCTCCACCTTATTGATCTTAATATTGTTAATAATAATAAAATATTTTATTTTTACCGTCGCATTAGCAAAAAAGAAGTTGATGAGGCTTTAAAGAAAATCAAGAGTGGAAAGTCTATAGGACCTAATGATATTCCAATTGATGTGTGGAAATATTTAAAAGATTTGGGAGTTTCTTGGCATACTAAACTCTCTAATATTATTTTAAAACCAAAAAAGATGTTTGAAGAGTAGAGGAATAGTATTTGATCTCCATTTTTAGCATAAAGGAGATGCACAAGAGTGTTCAAATTATAGAGGATGTGTCATACTTTAAAATTATGGGAGAGTTAATTTAACATAAGTGAAGACATGTTACAAAGATTTCTCTAATCAGCTTGGATTTATGTCGGCCAAGTCTAATATGGAAGCTATACATTTATTGAGAGGTTTGATGGAGAAGTAAAAAGAGAATAAGGAGGACCTACATACAATTTTTATTGATTTTGAAAAAGTTTACAATAAGGTGCCAAGAGAAGTCCATTGGAGATTTCTAGAAAAGAAAGGAGTTGATATGACTTATATTCAAGTCATTAAAGATATGTATACTAGAACTATTACTTGTGTTCAAACAGGAGGAGAACTGACCAAGTATTTTCCTATTTTAGCTGGATTACATAAGGGAACAGCTTCAAGCCCATATCGTTTTGCTTTAGTTATGAAGCTCTTACTGGACATACAGGAGGATGTACCTTGGTGTATGCTTTTCGTTGATGATATCTTTCTTGTAGATAAGACTAGAGAAAAGTTCAAGAAAAAATTAAATCATGGAGGTCTACATTGGAGTCTAAAGGCCTTCATTTGAGTAGAACTAAAGTTGAAAACCTGGAATGTAATTTTAGTAGTAGCTCTAGCGGTAGAGTTATAACTATGAGTGATCAAATCATTAAAATGTGTGAACGTTCATTTTAGATATCAAATGTCTATTGTTCAGAGTGATGGTGATATTATTAGTAGAACTCAAGTAGTTGGTTGAAGTAGAGAAATGCATTGGGTCTATTGTGTGATAGAAAAGTACTGCATTGACTAAAGGGAAAGTTTTATAAGACGATGGTGAGACCTGCAATGCTCTATGGTGCAGAATATTAGCCTTTAAAAGAGAAGCATAAGAAAAAGTTACATGTTGCTAAGATGAAAATGCTTAGGTGGATGACTAGTTTGACACTTAAGAGACAACATAATATGAAATGAATATATCCGTGATAGGGTTAGTGTAGCTCTAGTGACAGATAAAATTAGAGAGTCGTCTTAGATGTTTTGATCACATTAAACATTGACAATTTGATGATCCGATTAGGAGAGCATATGTTTTAGATTCGACTTATGTTAAGAAAGACAGATGTAGATTTAAAAAGTCTTGGGCATGTTTTATAAAAAATGATCTTAATTTATTAAAACTAAATAAAAATATAACACTCAATTAGCCACAATGGAGAAAAAGGATTCATGTAGCCAACCCCACTTAGTGGATAAAGGCTTATTGTTTTGTTGTTGTTGTTGTTTTATAGGAATCACGATCATCTTAATGAGCCTAATTTAGAAATGAACATCATTGGAATCATAATCAACTTAATGAGTTTACAAAGTACACTAAAGTAGAAGCCCAAATCTATGATAGGGTTCACGATCATAATATAATTCTAGAATTGTCACCTAAATGAATGAATTCATTGATTGATACCAAATAGAAGAGTATTACAGAACAATATTTGCAAAACAAAATTATTTGGTCAAGTATGGATTTATTTGATTATTGCTTTAGCAAAAAAAAAGAAAATCTAGACCAAGCATTCCTAAACCAAGCAGAAATGAAGAGGATGCTTAATTTTAAATACTGTCTTTAAAATCATGAAATGAAATTACATGAACACTTAATGACCTTAAGGTAAAAAAGCTTGTTAGACATTTGACTATTTGAATGCAACTAAGGATCTTATGGCTAGAACTAATTGCCGTGATCAGGAGTTACAATTAGCTAACAATTTATAATTAATCTAAATAGTGATATCAATATTAAAGTAGAAAATCAAGATCCTCATACACTAAAGAATTTTTCATTAAAATTTACTCCTTGAAAAGCATAAGAAATCGGCATCCACATCTATATAAGGGTCAAATATTAACATAGCGAGCATCCACATTTCAAACCCAAAGTTCTACTGTTTAACTTAGCAGTTTATCATCCAGTGCCCAACCCATTAAAGATACCATTGAATCCACTTCAAAAAAACACAAGGGACATTATTTACTTAAAGTGTCATAAAAGATGACACATACAAAACTAATATAAAACAAAGATTATGTTCTTTGATGAATTAGAAGATGGGGAAGTGAAGGATGAGGCTGAGGAGAACAATGATGAAACTTTTTTATGTAATGAAGATATAGAACATCCTATAGAAGATCAAGTGATTGTCACAAAATGTATGATAGTGGCTAGAGGTGAAGATTGGAGGAGGCATTCTCACCATAACTTAAATATGATACACTGTAGTCAAGAAAACTCATGCATTTAAACATAATAATAAGGCCATAAGAAATTTCCAATAAAGCCAATGGATGAACAAGCATATTTCTTTTCAAATATGCACACTTTGAGATATAGCCCAAATCAAGTCAGACGAATAATGTTAAGTTTCAACTAATAGTACTTTCAATGTTTGTTATTAGAAAGAGCATTTCTGACTTCACTAATAAGATTCTCACACCTGATAATCTCCCAGATGAGTAAATACTTATGGGGGGATATTCAACATGCCATAGGCTTGATTGGGATTCACAAATTTCAAATTTATCATAATAGAGTATGCTCAAAAGAACAACATGAACTGAATAGGCAATTAAATGAACTATTATTGGAAATCTTCATCCAAAAAAACTTGAGAACTTATGCAATTCATGTCACAACAAAGAATAATGCAACTTGAAAAATGTGTATGGATAGTAGAGCAATAAATAGGATGGATTATCATTAAGTATAGATTTCATATTCCCATATTGGATGATATAGTTAATCTTACTGCTAGATCTAATCTCTTCTCCATAATTAATATAAAAAGTGGATACCATCAAAATTGAATTAGAGCCGGGATAAAAAATAAACAACCTTTAAAACTCTAGATGATCTTTAATAATGGTTGATTATGTCATTTGGATTATCTAATGCATCTAGCACATTATTGAGACGGATAAAATATGTCCTAAAACCTTTTACTAGTGATTTTCTAAAAACATATTTTAATGGTATTCTTATTTATAAACCTAATGAGACGTCCTGCATAGATCGTCCTAACACTAGACAGGAAAAAATGTGATAAGCAAAACTTTGACTTGACCACAAAAAACCTTTTTTTTTCCTGCAACCTGAGGTCATCTCCCAATCTTTTGTAGTATTTATTACATGGATAAAAGCATATCCTCCAAAAATAAACACAATAGTAGATTGGCTATCCCCCATATCCTTTATAGATGTCAAGAGTTTTTATGGCTCACAATATTCTACATAGGATTCATTAAAAATTCTGGCACCATTGCTGCTTGAATCACAAATATTTTAGTAAGAGAATTTGCACTACAATCACAGATAAAGCCATAAAATAAAACGAAATTCTCATAATCTATTCTCCATTCCTTAAACTTCTTGATTTTACTAAGACATTTGATGGTCTATGATGCTTCAAGGGTAAGCATATGAGAATTATGGGGACCGACAAATCTAGTGACCTTCTTCAATGAGAAGCTTAATAATGCTAGGCAAAGATATTTTATATATGATGGAAAGTTCAATTTCATCATTCAAACTCACAAACATTGAACATAATATTTATTACCCATGGAATTTATCCCTAAGACATAACATATGGGTAGATATACAATATGGGTAGAGTATTTGAATGATTTTTTTTCTTCGTAAATATAAATCTAATATAGAGAACAAACCTATAGATATATTATTTAGAGTTTTTTTAATAATTAGTTCTTTAAATTTTTAAATTCATGGATTCAAACAATTAGGATGATCATAATATTTATCATAATTTTCATCTAAACTATTTAGAGCATGAATCAAAACCTATATTTTTTAATAGAAATGATTATGCATCCACAAAATATTTATAAGAGAGTTTCTGATCATAAAACTTCATTCAGGTGTATAGCAAGACATTTTGGGATGTTTAAAACCATAAACATGTTGGAGCATAGGTTTTTCTAACCTTCACTCAAAGAGGAAGTTGAAATGATGGAACTTCAAAACTAAACATGTTGACAGACAAATGCTACAAAAATGAGACTTTAGTATCGCCTTGCCAATTTCCTGCACTCCTTTAAAGGATATATGTATAGATTTCTGGTCATTGTTATAAGCTTAGAGAAGCAAAATGATATTACCTGAGCTAAAATCACAGCTTCATGATACAGAGAGACTGCATTTTCATCACTTTTATGACTCAATACCAAACGTCTTCAATTACAAAACAGAAAACTTCACTAGTGAGATTAAAAAGGCTTCTGTATAAAGACGTCATAAATTTAACTATGGAAGAATAATTGCATTTCTACACAGCGATTATCTAAGAAAAATATGGTAAGGCAATCATATACAGTCATGAAGAAAAATCTCTGTTATTTATGAGAAAAAAGGGCCAGAAATTGACTTGCCTGCATTGGCGAGGAACAACACATCGATAGCTCCGAATAAATTGGATAACGAAGATTTCACAGAAGCGCCATCGTGTGACAGCAAATGCCGGAGTAGAGGGAGAGTATTTAGAGAAGCAGAACCCTACACCCTAACCTGTGCCGGAAAGAGCGGACCTTAATCTTGCTCCACAATTAGAGAACCCAGTTTGTGTGGGCATTGTAGCATCTTACCTTGTTTATACGCATTATCTCTACGTTTGTTTTGCTTTAAAAATAAGACAAATTATAATTGAATGAAATAATTGTTACAATGTAATATATTTGAAATATTTTTATATTATTTGATTAAGGATATAATATATGAGATAATTTTTTGTGTTCAATTTTAGGTAAAATTAATTTAATGCATTACTGGTGGCATTTCTCAATGGGGCAAGAGGCTCTAACAAATGAAAAAATTATTGCGTGCGGACACCTGATGCAAATTTGAGTCAGGTGTTTGATATGTACCGTCAAGAAAATTTGAGTGGGTCCCACTCTACTAACAAAAAAGGGGGGTTATTTCAGTGGCCCGGATTGAACATCTGACATAAATTTACGTCAATTGTCTGCACGCAATAATCGCTCCTAACAAAGACGGTAAGCTGCAAACAACACCATAGGTGGATAGCAACCGTGAATGGTAGGTAGCGGTTGTTCATAACAGGAAACATAAATGAAAACTTATGCAATGTATTTGAAAATTAGCCAAATTTTAAATTTAATAAAATTAGAAAAAAATTTCACTTTCAAACTATTGTGACTTTACATTTCATTTCTTGTTCAACCAAACAAATAGTATATTTTTTAAAACCCTTTCATTATATCCCTTTTATCTTACTAACATGTGTGTGTGTGTTATATATATATTATATATATATATATAGCTCAATTAGCAAATTCATACTTTCCAACCAATTTTGTGAAACTTTTAAGAGTACAAGATATCATACTTTATTAGTGGGGGGAAATTTTAAACTTCCATCTTTCTAAAAAACTGTAGCCCCCTCAAAGAGACACTTAGGATCTCAAAATATTATTTACATAATATATGTGAACTTGCAATTAAACTCACTTAAAAAAATCTCAAAAAAAAAATATTAATTTTTTTTAAATTATTTTAAAGTTTTTATATTGGTGTAAATTAAATAAAATGTACTATAATATTTCTTTAAGTTATTAAAAGTACTTTTAAAAATTTACATACTCTATATTATAAATTAATTCAATTTGCATGAAACTAAAATCATACACCATTTTCACACCCCTGGTTTAAGCACCCTCAACAAATCTCCTCGGTTTTTGTGAATGCCCTAAAATCAAACTTTAGGCCTATTGAATTACCTCAAATGACGCAACAGATAGGTTGTTGATCGGTAATTCATTGTTAGGTTGGGTCGACTACTTTCACGTTCGAGTAGACTTAGAATCTTGATTTCCTTAGATGACGAATACACATAATCCCGACTAGGCTATCTCTACCTGTCTAAGAACCTCCTCACCTTTTCTATTGACTTCTCTATCGAGTTCTCATTGATATTTCATAGGCTATTTTATTGAGAGGTGAGTTATCTATCAAGTTACAGTGGCCACCATCAACCCGAAAACTTAGCTTTGTTTTGGAGACAGAAGGTTTCCTCCATGAAGATGACCAAAATCACATTAGCATTTTTTTTTCATTAGGTTATATCAAGCAAGCATAACAGCTTTCAATAAAAGTTTTCTTGGGTATCCCCCAATGATGTAATTGACCATGAGAATATGTCATCATGGGAGGTCTCTTTAAATCTAGAAAAAAAAAGATTTAGTTTTGTCTTATATTTCAAATATGAAGGGCTTTTTATAAAGATTTTCTCTTATATTTACTTGGTTGATTAATGTCAAATTGATTTTGTACTGCCCTTATCTAGTTTATGTTACAAGTAATGTCTTATCTTTGTATCTAGAATTTCTTTTCTTCCTTGTATTTGCCCAATTTTATGCCCATATTTTCTTGCTATATCTCTTTTGAACAGAGGTTGTTTGGAAATGGGGATCCGAAAGGGGCAAGTATGAAGATGGTATCTCCAAAATAAGAAAGGGAACAAACAATGCCCTAATACTAGAACGGAGCACCACAATGCTATATATGAGGCATCTCAATGCCCGAATTAGGAAACTTCTATCCAAATATTCAGAGTATGACACTATGACACTAGAGGCTAACACTCTATATAGCCAAAGAACAACACCCACAAAGGCAATAATGCCATGCTCAAAGCCCTGAATTGAAGATTCAATGTCACAAAAAGTGACACTTAAACCCACCACCCCAACATCAACACCCTTGTACTACCTCATTAGTGCTTTAGTGCTGCTCACCAACATAGAATGGTTATGCAATTCAGATGACAATTTAGAAGATTAGGGGATAAAATCATGAAAATTCAAAATGAGAGGAAACTTTTGCATGCATGGAAATGACCTAGAGTGTGTGTGAGTGTGAGTTTACATTGTGTTGAGAGAATCGAGATGAAATCAAGGGGAGGAGCACAATATAGAAGGAGAGTTGGTTTGGTGTGAAGAAAGTTTCATTCTAGAGTTTTCTTTCCTTTTTTTTTTTGGTAAACTTTATCTTCCTATCAATAACTTTTTTTTTGTTTTATTCACTAATGCTTAGGAACTAATTTTCATACTTCTTTGATTTGGGATAGTAATGTTCTTGTTCGGTCCATATGAAATTCTTAGACTAATTGTATGTCATATTGATGCATTAACCAATAATGCACAATTTACTTTCTTGCTAGCCACTTGAAATGTTAAAACCACCTGTGATCTAGGACTTTAAGAAAAGGACTAGAAGAATAAGTTGGTTAACTCACAATTTTTTGGTAGAAAAAAAATATTTTCATTAGAAGATTACAATTACATTGGAAAATAAAAGAATCCTGGGAGCCTTTACAGGGTTAACGGGAATTAACCGTAATATGAGACTCCAATGCTTCTTACGTCTTAGAAGAGAGTAATGAGTAATTGTCCTTAGTTATTAATATTGAGTAGGAGAATTTAGTTGATGAAAATATAAGTTTCACAAATTCCAACTCAAAGAAGATATTCTCACTCGAGTCAAAACTAAAACATATAATTTTCAATTTCACATTTTAGGACTTTTAAAAAACCTTTCAAAAGAACTGAAACCTTTGAATTAAATTGAAATTTAGTAGAATACTAATTAAACTAGTTTAAAAAGTAACTAAGTTATTTGTGTGATCGGTAATTTGGACTCAAAGTATGAATACTACTAGATCGACACGTTTAATTGTGTGATTAATGTGTGTATCACTACATATCAAATTAAATATCTTGTGCACTAGTATGTTGCTCAAATTAAATGAAAATTATGGAATTGCTCTTAAGGATGAGCGATATAATAATTAGATTTTCCAAAAAAGAAGTGTATGAATTAACACTAAGTAGTTTTTTATAAAAAAAAATAGTCAAGAGTTTATTGCGATGAGCATGAAAAAATTATGTTAATGAATCAGATACAAGAAATATGCATCACATATTTTGTTATTTTTAGCATGTATCATTATTAAAAACATTATATAATATTTGGTTGATATTTTTAACTAATTTCACCATAGTTCTTTTCAAAAGATAAATATTTTTGAATATTCCAATAACAAAGTACCTAGATTAGAGAAATTTTATGGTAAAAGGCATCCAAGCAAAGTGTGGGGCAACTATATCGATACATGGTGACTATTTAATACTCAACAAATTAGCTTGAATAATAATAAGCTTTTAACATTCTTCAGAGATTGATATTGATGCACCTCAAGAGATTAATTAAGATAATGGATGTTCATGAAAATCAAGCATGTACAATAAATCAAGTAACACCATCATCTTTTAAGAGTCATGTCCCATGCAAGAAATTGAGCATGGTGTTGGCTAAAGTTTTTATGGGACTTGTTGACCACACTCTTGATCTTCATTTGTAGATTTAGGAATCCTTCCTTGTCTCGTCTGGCATCAATATTTTGTGTTACTTGCTTTTACGCATAAAACAAATAATGCATTTTTCTATTCTAAAACACTGGCCATCAGCTAGTGTGAGTAGGGTTGTCAAAAAGGCTTGTTGTTCGAAAACAGGTCGTGTTCGGCTCGTTCGGTAAGTTAACGGCCGAACACGAACAACATGAACAAATATTTGTTCGTTCGTGTTCGGCTCGTTTTGGCTCGAAATACTACAAAACAATTATATATATATATATATATATATATATATATATTGATTTTTATTTATACACAATATATATACTCATAAAAAATTAATTGACTACAAGGCTACAATGATTTATAATCAATTAAAATTATTAATTAAGAAAATAGAATAAAAATTATTAAATTAGATTCAAATGATGTTTTAAATCTTGCCCAATTCCTTAATATTTTATAACTACATGATTAGGATTGTCAAAACGACTCTTTGTTCGTGAACTGCTAGTGTTCGACTCGCTAAGCAAACGAGCAAAACACGAACACACTTTTTAATTAACAAGCCAAACAAGATTCGAGACCAGGCTCTGCTCGTGTTCGGCTCGTTTACACCCCTATCTCCAGATATAGTGTGTGAGATATGTTTTAATGGTGTGGCTGTTTAGTAAAAGTATTTAATTTGAAAAAGTATCAATCTTAAATTCTAGTATACTTTATGATTATTAAAATCTAAAAGACTTATTGACTCATAAAATCAACATAAAATGTTAGTCTCCACAAACATATTGATATAATTGAATGTGCCTGAGTGGTCTATGCTAAAGATATTCATAATAGTATATGTTCATCTAATTGATACTTCTGAAGACGACAAGCAACTTTTAGTAACTCATTCTAGATGAATAATATGTTGGATTAATTTATTTTCGATTCCATTAAATATTTTTTTTTCTTGGCATAAATGACTAAAATGCTATTCATTTATTGATCCATAATTTCTTTAGTCAGTTTATTGAAATATTACTGCAGAAAAAACCCTAAACAAGGGCTAAAAATAAGTCTTCATAGAACTGAGATTGATGGTCTAAAATTCACCAAGTGCTTAGCTATCCATTCCTCCGAGAACTTTCTAACGGAGATTTTACAAGGTGTTTTTATATGTATCAAAATTTAAACTATTTTGGTAATTTCATCAGCATTCCATTCAGCCTAACATGGATTTATTAGAGGTTATAAAGGTTATGAAACCAAAATAAGAGTTACATAGATTTTATGAAGGAAAGTTCTGTCAGCATGACTAGATAATTAGGATAAAATATTATATCTGGTAAATTAGACGTGCGGTCGACGATGTGAATCACATCACGCCGTCGGGCACATGGCATTGTGTGATCCAAGTCGTCATCCATCCGCATGTCCAGACGACGAACAAATTATTTTCTCTCATTATTAGGAGATGATGTAATGAATCATGTTACCAGAAAGAAATATTAGAGCGCTACAATCCTTTTCCTTAAAAGTTGAATAAAACTTACACAAATACAAGGAGCGATTTTACCGGTCAAAAGTCATATGCCAACATTTTTACAACAAATTAAATTAAGTTTTTACAACCAACTAAATATTGATAAACAGAAGGCAAACATAATTTCCATTCCAATATATCACTAAAATGAATATTTATTTTTTTCTGTAACCAATAAATAAGTCGCCAAAACAAACTATACACACACTGGGCATTCCCAAAATTATTTTCTGCACCGCAATTGCTATAAACGCCAGCACTGTTAAAGCAAATCACTTTTTCAATTGCCAAAATTCAAAATTTCATCACTTCTGAAGTGAGGTTTAGCAGAGTCTGCAAAGCATTGGGAGCAAACTTTCTGGCAAAGAGATAACAGAGAGAAGTCGGCTCATTATTATAAGTGCAGATACTCCCATTATTTCTAATTGACTGAATGAACATCACTGTAACATTTTCACCCCCATATGTAGCAGGGTGAGGACCATCTCTCGACCAATCCACCCAAGTGACACTCCGCTTCGCATTCCATTTGTCATGGAACATGTGCAGGTATGTTGGGATGTAATGTTCGTCCGGGTAGCAGGAGGGTTTACAGTATTTGTTGAAGATGGAGTAGTAATTGTAATCTGCAACAATTTTCACGGCTAAGTTGCGGTTAAGCTCGAACCATTGGGATCCTTTTCTCCATTGGCGGAGCTTGATGTCGGGATACATGTGGTGGCTGTAGCGACCACGCCCGCGAGGAGAGGCTTCGTCGTAGGACTCGACGAAGCTGTGCTTCGAATGAATAAGGTATTTGTAGATTGTGGGGAAATTATAAACGGGAATGCAGCTTTCCGACAGAAGAACAAAGCGTTCGTTGGAGAAATCCAGCAAGGCGTTGGCTAAAAGACGCTTTTCTGAATCAATGAGTGAAATCGATCCCCAGGAAACCTCCTGTAAGTCAAAAGAAGGATATTGAATATAGTTACTCTCACAAACATGCTCTCCTGATTTAAATGCTGAGGAATATCAGCAAATTTTAAATTTTGAAGGAAAAATTTTCAAATTTGTGCCAATTCTCAATGTTCTAATAGATATATTGAGAATTCAAAACAATTTGAGGGGACGTTTGGTTTGGTAAAAATGAAATGCATTGTAATGTAAAAGATTTGCAAAGTACTATGATTACAATGTATTTGAAATACTTTCGAGTTGTTTGATTCACTAGAAAAAAAATATAAGATTTTACATTTTTTTCGTTTGATTTGAAGTTGATTGAAAACAATGTATTATATATATATAGGTTA